TTTCTGAAAGGTATAGATGATGGGGTATGCTGTAGATAGAGAAGGCCGATATGGAGAATATTTGTGATATGTTTGGTGTATCTACCCCCAATGATGCTAGTAATAGTGATCTCACTGATTATCATCATCGTCGTGATGGTAGTTATTAGTTGTATAGGTAGTGGTTGTGAAGATCAACAACAACACGTGAAGATACGTGAGACTACTACTGTTGTGGAGAAGGATTCATTCGAGGAATTACAGTTGAAGACGTTGAAGGACGTTGAACAGCTTAGTGAACGGTAATATTGGTGATAGCATCGCAGTAGTGATTATGACTGATAGCTACTGCTGCCCTTGTTGTAGATGTGTTGGCAAATTAAATGATTGCCGTACTAAAGCAGCAGTATTCAACTTTATGCGAGATACCCTTAGAGGGATTGAAGAGAAGTTGGACCAGGATGAGTGTACCAAGCTTATTAAGGAGTTACAAGCATTGGTTACATCAAAGAAGCAAGAGAAGGTACTCACTCAGGCGGCCGATAGTGGTAAGCTACTATGGTGTGTAGGCTGAGAAGGATAGGAACCGTAAGAAACAGGCTACTGATGTATCACAAATGAAGAAGGGTGCCAAGGTTGATTATCAAGCCGAGATAGATATGATGTAATTGCCAATAGCACCTATCGTAAGGTTAGTAGAAGTAGTCTATATTAGGTACGGGGATGATGGTTATGGTGAATATGATGATGAGTATGATGACTATGCCGACTTCGTCTGATCATCGCCAACTACTACCCTCTTACGTCCTTTTATACATTTCGTGTAACTCACCACCGTTCGTACGTCTTACGCACCCTATAGCAGTATGATCCTAATGCTCATCATTATACTGCCTGCCTACTACTGCTTGCAATCATAATAGCCTTTTCATCCACGCAATGACGGCTCCATCACTAGTGTTATAGTCATTTTATTATCTATAACTTTCATAGAGCATTTATTACTCTATCGAGTATGGCCGTGGAAGGTGATAAGAAAGCCACACGTCGGAGTACTATCCCCCTACTCCTATTAATTATCGGTAAGCCATACTCCTCATTCTCCTACCGCACCTTTATCATCTTTGTTGTAGTATCGGCAGTGGTGATATACACCTATAACCCATGTGATGCTCCAGCAAATATGAGGAAGGATTGTGGTTGGTCAGGTAGTTGTTGACCTCTCCCCATGTGGTGTGATACTATCTATCAGGCATTAGCCGTGCTAGATGTATACAAACTGGTAAGTTGGAGTTGCCCAATTATGAAGGTATCAAGGAAGTATCCATGTAATGCATCATGCTATAACATAGTATTATGGGTGTAGCTGTACAACAGGTATGCACTAGTGGCTCTCATCGGTAGTACGGTCTTACATTATTTATCTGGTTTTCCGAGGACATCCCTCCTTTTGTAATACCACTCTGATTATGACAATCAGCATCATCATGTAGTTACCATGCCCTTGCCCTTTATGTGGTGCATCATATCACGAG